TAGAGTATGCTGCTCTAAAAACAGCTTTTAAATGCTTTTCAAGGAGGACAGTAGATAATAGGAATAAAAGAATAGCTATGTAATGGCATTATTAATAGGGAAATAATTTAGGGGCGATTAAGGAAGAACAATTTTTTATTGTATGGAGAGGATCCAGAAGAATGGACTGATTACCTTCTGCTCTAGGCTCTTCTAGCAATCAATTTTCCTTTCTAGTGTTCAGTTGCTTGCTAATTGCATCGATTTTATCAAATATGTGTACAAATCAATTCTGTATTTTAGTACTGTTAAAAGCTTCCTTTTTCCCTAGCAGGCACAGGTGATTTGATCATACTAATCATATTCATTGTCTTTCTCTAAAATGTTAATTGTTACTATAGCTTGCCCTTGTTTCTTTGCAACCTTCAAGGCATGTGTGTTAATATGGCTTCTGTCCAGTTCCCATTTAAACATTTGTTGATTGCTCCCAGTATGTGAGATGGGTCTAGAAGACAACCAGTTGAAAACTGGAGTTGCTTGATGTTGTTGTTGATGATGATGATGATGAATACCAAGCAATAACAGCAAAGAGAGAATTTGTATATTGCATGCAGTAATCGGCTAGAAAGGCCCAGTATTCAGAACCCTGCCCTGGAGAAAGTTCATAAATATATGCTCCAACCCACATGCTCATGCTGTTGCTGAGACAAAGTGAGTTCAGAATGTGGGGGGAATCTCACATGGGACTGCTCTTCTACACCATAGAATCATAGAGTTGTAGAGTTGGAAGGGACCACAAGAATCATCTAGTCCAACCCCTTGCATTGCAGGAATCTTTTGCCCAACATGGGGCTTGAGCCATGATTAAGAGTCTCATGCTCTACCGACTGAGCTACCAAGCTGGATTTCAGAAGTGCATTGCTTGTGGCAATCTCCCATACTAGGGAGAAGAGTTACAGACTGTGTACACACCACTCATTTAAAGCATTCTCAAAAAGAATCTTATGAACTGTAATTTACACCTCATAGGGCTACAACCCTCAACGAACCACAGTTCCCCGGATTTAGGGTGTGCGTGTGCTTTAGATATATGGTTTGTACACAGCCTTTTTTAGCCTATCACCTAGACCACCGAGATCTCCATAAGCAGGGATTTATTTATTTTTTACCAAGGGGGGGCACCTGCAAGTGGGATTTCCCACCTGCCATTCTGAAGATCAATTCCAAGATCAAGCAAGCATGCAGGAGCAGCCAAGGTGCACCCATTGTTAGAAACTCACATATGCTAGGCACCAAATGGCTCCTTAAACCAAGGTTACAGTCGCCAAAATGGAGTGTCTAGTTGCCATTTTGGGGTCTGATGGCTCAAAAATTGAATTTTTCAATATTACTTTTTTGGTTCCTGACATTTGTTTTGATTGTGTAGGTGGATAGAATTTGACAGTATGTGAAAAGAGGCAAGATCCAAAGTTCCCCAGGCATGCACCTCCAGGTGGTAGAGACTTCAGATACCCTCCAGTTGCCCAGACCTGGGCGCAAGTGGCCGATAGCCAGATGCAAAATGTGCCTGGCAAATTCCAGATGCTGTGCACCACGTTCTGATGTGCATTAGCAACTGGGGTGGCAGGAAAGGGTTGCAGGAGACTGACGAATTTGACCTGCCTCCATCCCACTCCAACCTGCAGCTCCAGATCCTGACTTTGAACCACAGCCAGATGTTCTAAGCAAATTGAGACAGAAGTCCTGCCCTGCCAGTCAAGCTTTCTCTTACTTTGATCAGCTGAGAGAACTGTACAGTGGTACCTCGGGTTACATATGCTTCAAGTTACATACGCTTCAGGTTACAGACTCCGCTAACCCAGAAATAGTGCTTCAGGTTAATAACTTTGCTTCAGGATGAGAACAGAAATCGTGCTCCACCGGCGCGGCGGCAGCAGGAGGCCCCATTAGCTAAAGTGGTGCTTCAGGTTAAGAACAGTTTCAGGTTAAGAACGGACCTCCGGAACGAATTAAGTACTTAACCCGAGGTACCACTTTGCTTATTATAATGGTGAACCCCCACCCTGAAGGAACTATGGCTTTGACAATATAAGTTTAGATAGCTGTATTTCCGCAGTTCTAAATTCAGTGTGGAACATACATCATATTTATATAATGTATCATATATTTATATGATGTATGTAGATAATAATCTCCCTTTCTTCAAGTCCCTCCTCAAGTCTACCTTTTCCATGGAGAATGGAAAATATCCATTCCCAGCTGCAAGGAAATTAAAGGATATATAGCAGCATTTTCTCCATTCTTCATGTCTTCATTTCTTTTTCCTCTCCCATCCTCCCTCTTATTTTCTCCCCATTGTCAGAGGTTAGACTGTAATCCTTGAGGCCCTGTCTTTCTTCTGTCTTACGCCATAAGGTGCTATGTTTATCAATGCCACAGTATAAATACCCCCCCCCCCCGTATAACTGAATATATGTGAACTAGGATTGCAAAAACATTTAAAAAGAAAAAAACAAGTGAAATTTATATGGCCAATCTTTCCAGTTCCAAAGAACTCTACGGACTATACATTTAAAACCAAGTCACCGCCTGAGACCTTTCTGTATTGCAGAAAACGTACAGAGTGTAAAGCAAAAAGAAAGAAAGAAAACAACCTTATCCATTTGTGTTTGTTTATGCCCATGGCAGTTTAAATTGTTCCTGTCAAACATACCTCTTTTCTAAGATATACATTCTTTAAGTAGAAGCTACCCAGTTCTGCACAGGGGAACAATCTCTGGGCTGTTCTATAAGTAAACCCAAGAAACAGATTTACAAAATTGACACCGGCTCTTTTGTTTCTTTCTGTTGGCTTTGTTTTGTTTTTGGTTTGTGAACCAGGCTGCCAAGGAGAGTTTTCTGTAGTTTGAACTTCTAATGGTAGGTTCACAAAGCAATTTCATTTTACTCCAAATGAAAATTCGCTGGATTTTATGACATTCTGACACTTGCTCTTGTCAAAGCAACCCTGGAGGTAGATTTTTTAAAATTCTCCTTTTACATCTGGAGACATCAAATGCAGTGATAGTAAGGAAGTAAACGTTTGATTGAGACACGTTCTTAATTCATGTATGTGGGCTTGCCAAGGTTTGCAGCCTTATGGCTAACAAAGCCCATTGAGGTCTTAAGTAGAAATCCTTTACTATCTTATGTGGATTGAATTATACCTTTCAGCTGATAAATTTTAACCTTTTTTGGGGGGGGCTTAAAAATGCTTTATTTGTAAGCAGTTCACAGCCATTGGTTTTAGAATGGTGTACTCAAAAGATCTGTGCAGCTGGAACATGGCACAAATCCCTAGTCTTTGTGTGTAATTTGACTTTGCTGTGAGCTATGTGTTGGAGGATCACAGCGATGGATACGGAAAGCCCTAGTGTATATGCCAGCAATAATCTCAGCACATGCCACTCACAGGCAGGAGGATGTCCCCAGTCTAATTAATTCCAGTATTCAGTACCAAATCTAATCCAAAATAACACCAATAATTTGGCAAGGAATCTCCCACCATGGACAAAATCGTCTCCAAGCAGCAAGCATGCCCAACCATACCTGAATTAATCACAGATTCTTATGCTGTTTGAGGGAAAGACAACCCTGCCCCCTTTCAGCTGAGTAAGGGCACCTTGCTAAGAAGCTATGAATAATCAAAGCAAGAAGTTTCCCTTTTGCTTTTATTTAGAGCTTCCGGTTTTAACCACTTTGTGTAGGGGGCACAAGAACTTCACTTAAAAGAGGAAGCCCTCTTATGCCACATTTGTTAATGAAGTCAAGTCGGGATATCCCAAGAATTTCTCCACCTATGTCATTGTCATGAAATGTCACGTGGGTATAACCCTCAACACCCTCTAAAAAAAGGCTGTTTCTTGGCTCTCTGCTCCGTGACAACACTGTCCTTGCTGCAGACCGCGAGAGCTGTTTTCTTGATTTCCTCTGCTGTATGTTTCTGTACAGTGGTACCTCGGGTTAAGAACTTAATTTGTTCCGGAGGTCTGTTCTTAACCTGAAACTGTTCTTAACCTGAAGCACCACTTTAGCTAATGGGGCCTCCCGCTGCCACTGCGTGATTTTTGTTCTCATCCTGAAGCAAAGTTCTTAACCCAAGGTACTATTTCTGGGTTAGCAGAGTCTGTAACCTGAAGCGTCTGTAACCCGAGATACCACTGTACTGGCATTTCAAGCAGCAAAACAGCTCCTAAATCTTGCGCATGTTGTAATCTTTAAACCTTTATTTATAAATAAATATTAAATTGCAGCTGTGGTGCTAGCTTTCTGGAGTGAGTGCAGTAGGATTGATCCATGCTGAATTTCACAAATTAATCAAGGTTACTGAAGGCACCGCAATTCTATGTGTGCACAGCGGTCTCCAGGACATATTGCTATGTCCTCAAAATTAGCCTTTTAATAAATACATGTGTAAGATGTGTCTGCAGTGGTGCACTAACAGATCTGGTAACAATGATGAGTTTTTGCCACACACCATGATTTGTCATACTAGCCTAGTACTCATTCTTAAGGCAATACAATGTCCCCATGAAAGATAAATTGATGCATATTTATAATCTTCTGGCATAATGGATGGGTGGATAGTCCCAAACTTTGGGTGCAGGTTGTTGCTGGCATGGGATGATGGGATCTGCTATATTCAAATCCACTGCAAGTTGTGCAAAAATGGGGAGTTGTGAGGAGGGCAGGTTACTACTACAGTGGTACCTCCGATTACGAATGGGATCCGTTCTGGAGGCCCTGCCGTATCCCGAAAACTTTGTAACCAGAGGTGCCCTTCTGTCTACACATGCACGCGGCGAAACCCGGAAGTATACACTTCTGGGGGTGCTGCGTTCGCAACCCGAGGTTTGCATTACCCGAAGGTAACGTAACCAGAGGGTCCACTGTATAGTAAAAACTTCTCTTTTTTGTGCTGCATTTCATACCTCAGACAAATCCTATACAAACCTACTCAGATCTTGCATTCATTTCAGCAGAACTTGTACCCATCTTTATGGCATCCGTCTTGGGAGACAATGGAGGAGTGTACCTTTGAGGGAGAGCTGATGGTGAGTTACCTTGCCTGTTATGGGTATAGAGACTGAAATGGGAGAGATATGTTTTGTTGCAGCCGGGGCAGAGGAAGACATCTGGTTGCTCTGCTGCAGATGTACCACGCCACTTCTTCTCTCTGCATTATTCCCATCTAAATGTGTATTTAAACATTAGACGAGTGGCATAGCGGTTATTTTTCTTTGGGTTTATCCCATGGTACTTGCGGGATCATTAAAGGCTTGCAACTACGTAGCCTTTTTCCAGGAAGTGGTACCCTTCTTTTGCAGCAGAACAGTGAAACTATAAACATTGCACTCGTGCCAATGGACGAGCCTGTGGGAAAGTGGTACAGGCAGCACATCCATTATTTACTAAAGGGCATTTTAGGGACTGGTGATGGGGGCTGTCCTCTACATATGGTAGGGTTGCCATAATTCAAAAAGTGAAAATCCAGAAACAAAACTTGTTGAGCTTGCTTTGTTTTGACCAAAGTTGTTGAGCGTTCTTTTTTGAAAAATCTGAAAATTAAGTTTTAAAGCTATTTTTTAAAGGAAATTCACCAAACAGTCAACACTTCCGATATGGGCTGCCATTCGCCCAGATTTCCACAGACATTGTAACTGGTATTGGAAAATTCTGCCCAGATGCTATTTTTGGCAGACAAATGCCAGATATGTCCAGGAAATTCTGGGTGTGTGGCAGCCCTGTATGCTCTGTAAAAACCAATGTGCAGGGCAGATTACAGGAGGCATGGTGTAGTTCGTGCTGGATGTGAGCCTTCTCTTCATGCTGGAACAGAGTACAATGATACCTCCGGTTACGAACTTAATTTGTTATGGAGGTCCATTCTTAACCTGAAACCCTTCTTAACCTGAGGTACCACTTTAGCAAATGGGGCCTCGCGTCGCCACCACGTAATTTCTGTTCTCATCCTGAGGTAAAGTTCTTAACCCGAGGTACAGCTTCCGGGTTAGCAGAGTCTGTAACCCGAAGTGTTTGTAACCTGAGGTGTTTGTAACCAGAGGTACCATTGTAGCTTAACTGTAGGAGATGACCAAACTTAGACAAATGGTTAGTTTTTGCATGTAGCGGGGTTTTGTTTAGGGGTTTTTGCTTGAGTCAGTGTGGTCAAGCAATATGTAGATTAGGGCAGCTTCAGGTTCCAGACCAGATGCTTGTGCTAGGCACCCCCAAATACAAAACAGCCTGAAACAGCAGGCAAGAATTCTACCACGGAACCACCAAGGGCCTTAATAAAAGGTCTAAATGTAAACTTCATATTAAAGGAAAAGAAAAAATAAACAGTTGCCTACCACCCTGATCTGTGTTGAGCAATCCTAGGGGAAAATATTGTTGTGTACTTGTATAATTATGCCCAAGTACAGTACAGTACAAGTACAAGTACAGCCCAAACACAGTGTGAACAAATTCCTTTTACCTTGGCTGATGCCTATCTGCAAGTCACACTTTCTAACCTGAAGGATCCGCCTCCATTCTGCAATATGTGCAAAGCAGCTGGTGTTCAGATACTCTCTGCTTTATTTTAATTTTGCGTGCTTTCAGTTCTGAGCCTGGAGAGCCTAAGCTTAAGCACATATTTGAGCTGGCATTCCATGGATTTTAAACAGAAACTGAGCACACACCTTTCTGAAAGGCATAAGCAGTATTATTTTCCCTTTCCAAGCCTGCTAAGCCAGAGTTAGCCAATGTGGAGCCCTCCAGATGTTGGACCTCCCACCAACCCCAGACAGTGTTCAGGAACGATGGGAGTTTTAGTCCAGGAACATCTGAAGGCGTTGGCTGCCCCTGTGCCAAGCTATTTTTAAGGTTATTCTTGTTTTACATACATCTGTGCATAGACAGTCACTTCAAAACTGGGTTGAGACCGTCCCTTAATGTCTGAGCTAGGGCAAAGCAGAACTACAAAGCTTGGCTTGTGGGCTGCCCTGAGAACAGGCTTATTCTGTTTATTTTAAGTAGGCTAAATATCCACAGAATTTGCTATGCCCCTTTCCCCCTCCCAGATATCAGGGTTCTGCAGTCTGTGGGAAGTGCAGCTCCGCCCCCGCCCTTCCCGCTTTGCATAATTTCACACACTTCAAGTCCATCTTTTGTATTAGGATTCCCAAACAACTAGATAAGCTATTGGGGCGGGGTGGAGAGAGAGAGAGAGAGAGAGAGAAGAAAGACAAGGGGTGTTACAACACAGAGAAGATAAATGTACCGGCTGCGCTAGAGGCTGTCCTCAGGCTGTTTGTTATGTGTCTCAAACACTGTCGCTACATTACACACTTCCTCGATCTCCGTATTACCCTACAAGCTTGTCGAACGGGATCCTCTGTTGCAGATTCTAGCTTACTCTGACCTACTTCTTTCCTGTGTCCCAGCAAGCTGTCAGGAACTATCAGAGCACTGGGAGCTGAAACAAACACTCACCGAGGGCGAAAGCAAGCTAGTCTCGAGCGAATGTAATTAGCTGCGTTCTAACTGGTTTGTTTGCTTTATAAATCACATCGTTTTTATTTCTCCAGATTTGGAGTAATTGTGTTATTGTGGCGGGGTGTTGTTTTTAAAACCACCCCCCCAAACCCTGTAACTAAAATTTAAAATATAATAATGAACTGCTCTGTTTAAAATTTAGGAATGGTTAATTGGTGATATACAACAGATAAACCACACTAGAACTTACTTCGTCAGAGGAAAATAAATTAACCCAAGATTTATTTATGCACTGCAAAGGCAGTGGCTCATTACTTAAAGCCCTGACATCCTTCATTTTCTTTTCTTTTTGGGCTGAAGAATTCATTAGCGTTATGATTCACAGCTTCCAAGGTAATCCAGTATTGCATGACAGCAAAACAAAAAAATATTGAGGGCCATACAACCCCCTGGCTGGCCCCCACTTCTATTTTTTCTCATTGTTTGCTATTGCAAAGCCTTAAGATGCCACCTAATGGTTGACAATCTACTATTCTAATAACACGTGGCTTATAATATGGCATCTTTCAATATATTCTACCCAGTGTACAAAGGATGCCAGGGTGGAAGTGAAACTTTCAGAAACGCTTGCCTATTGTTCTAAGTGTAAAGTTCAATTTCTGTGATAACTCATTGTGGGAAGAGGGAGACTCTCTGCCACATGTTGGCTTTCATATGTTCCATGGCCGTAACCTAACTATCAAACTGGTTCTGTAACTGAGCTTTGATCAGATTTTAGGCCAGGTTTCCACTGGCATTTAAAGGTAAAGGTACCCCTGTCCGTACGGGCCAGTCGTGACCGACTCTAGGGTTGTGCGCTCATCTCACTCTAGAGGCCGGGAGCCGGCGCTGTCCGCAGACACTTCCGGGTCACGTGGCCAGCGTGGCGAAGCTGCACTGGTGCTTTCGAACTGCTAGGTGGGCAGGAGCTGGGACCGAACGACAGGAGCTCACCCCGCCGTGGGGATTCGAACCGCCGACCATACGATCAGCAAGTCCTAGGCACTGAGGTTTTACCCAAAGCGCCACTGGCATTTAGTCTCTTAGAATAAAGGGTACAGGTGCTTGGGTAATAAATACCTTCTTGTTCAGCCAACTGCTGTGGGTGAAAGTTTACGGACCGAAGTAATTATGTGTATATTTTATTTACCAAGTGATGCTTACTCTAGCTCCATGAATGGTTTGATACAGCTGTAATGCCAAAACCCACTGTTTAGTGTTACATGCTGCCTTATGCGTGAGCACACTTCTTTCCTCTTGTCATATACACCATTCTCTTCCTAGTTTGAGGCAAGCCATGGTTTGCTGTTGCATCCAATCCAGTCAACTACATTCTGCGCTTGCCCTACAAACCACAGTTCAAAAGCAGCCATGGTTTGCCTCAAGCCAGGAAAGGAAGAGACTTGCCATGGGTGAAGGGAGGAAGAAGGAGCACACTATGAAGTTTTGTTCCTGATAGCTGGGCTTAACCATGGTTTGGCATTTCCTCTAACCATGCCTCTGTCTCTTTTTAAGGTTCTAGACCTTGTGATGATATGTACATAGCTTGGGGGCAGTTCTGGATCCTTTACTGTTGCTTGTGGCTCCGGAGGCCTCAGTAGTACACAGTGCTTCTATCAGCTTTGCCTGGTGGTCCAGCTACGCCCCCATCTGGACAGGGATAGACTAACATCTATAGTCTCTGCTCTGACAACCTCTAGGTTAGATTACTATAATGTTTTATACATGGGGCTGTCCCTGAAGACAGTTCAGAAACTTCAGCTGCTGCAGAATTTGGCAGCCTGGCAACTCACGGGGACGGGGAGGGGGGGAGACTCAAGACAGTTTGATCGTATGAATTGGCCTGACTTTTCCAGGCCCAATTCAAAGTGCTGGTTTTGACCTATGGAGCCTTAATTGGCTCAGGATGGCAATACTTCAATAACCTACCCAGACCCCGCAATCATCCTCTGAGGCCCTTCTTCGTGTCGTGTGCCTCCTTTGTGAGAGGTTCAGAGGATGGCTTTTTCTGCAGTGGCTCCCTGTCTGTGAAACGCTCCCCCAGGGAGGTTTGCCTGGCACCTTCATTATACAACTTTAGGCTAGGGCTGAGTGATAATCTGGTTTTCAACACTGTGATATATCACCAACTAAACATTGTGATATACTGATATATCACGATGCCTGAAGTAAGGACGGAGCTATGCAAAAGCATTGGCTGGCTTCACAGTTTTTCCTATATTGTGATTTTTGTGTAGCACACGTACACCAATATCACGATATGGACATCAAACCAGTTTTGAACGATATATCAATATATTGCCTAGCCTTACTTTAGGCACTAGATGAAAGTGTTCCCCCTCAACCTGGGTCTTTGGCTGATTAACATCCTATAGCCTTGTGGGATGGAGTGGAGGGAAAATAATAATAATAATAATAATAATAATAATAATAATAATAATAATAATAATAATATTATTATTATTATTATTATTATTATTATTATTATTATTATTATTATTTATACCCCGCCCATCTGGCTGAGTCTCCCCAGCCA